AAATAGGTGACGCCATGGTTAACATTGCATTTAATATCTATGACACAGTGAACACTGAGGCTGCAGATGTTATAAATCGGGTTAAATATACTGTAAGGATCTCCGATCCCCCCGAGTTGGTTGATGAGAAGAATCGCAGCACGTTGATCAATTAAAGTCAAAAAGTTAACATTTATTTAGAAGAGTAAAAGATTACATGAGCAATTCTCCGCAGATATCTGGCTCTAACTATTGCTTGGAAGCAGGAGGTCCAACACACCAGCACGTATCTCAGCGCTCGGCGTAATGACGTCTCCGAGCAGTAAAAACGCTGAGTTTTTATACACATGTGAAGGACATCCTCCATGACAGTTACGAGAAGCTACAAAGCAGGTTGAGATAAGAACCCAGGTTAATGCTGAGGGTAGCACACACACACACAAGATCCTCCTCAGTGGCCGGTGCAAATCATAATTAATTGACATAAAGTAAAAAATGTGGATCCGGAACTTTCGTACTGAATAATATATGAACCAAGGCCATGAACCGAAGTCCTTTGTTTTGAAGCGTCTATGAGCTCGAGTTGACCGCCCTCCCTTCTCAGGACACAGCTGCAAAGCAACATTTTGTATCATGCTGCTCTTTGCGCGTCAGGTTCAAATACAGGACAGTTGAGACACGGCTTTAGCACAAAACAATGTTATAATATATTTTACCAGTACATGCATCTCACAATAACCAACTTTAGCGATGATGTCACTGTTAACATTCGTTTAGGGTTAAAAGGGGAAAGTGTTGTATAAAAACTGTCCGAATTATTGAACCTTGATCTATAAACAAGTGAAGTTACACTCAGCCTGCGTATGGAAACTGTGACTTAAAAAAAGTCCATTGTACTATTCATTGATCTGTTTTAAAATGTAAACATTCTACATGTGTTCCAATTCATGTTGCAGTGGATGCAAATTGTATCGGCTGACAGAAAGTAAACAGACACAAGGTGAGGCCTTAAAATCCGGTAAACGTATAAAATGCAGATAGAGAAGGGAATCTTCAGGGAGATATGCTTCACCTCTGGAGCATGATATATTTCATCCTGAAATCTTAGATTAAATTCAAATTGGTTAAGCCATGTACTTTAGGCTACAAGTAATATTGCCTACTTAAGGCAGAGGAAATCAATCAATACAGTACATTAAAACAACAGCAGCAAACACATTAATTAACTTGTATGCGCAGACATTTTATTATTTTTCTTGTATACAAGCCAATTTAACTGTAACCAAAAGATATTACAGAATGTGCAGGCGTAGCTGAATGTCACCACACACATTCGTTCTCCCCTTCAGCTTGATGCTTATTACAAAATGTAAAGTTAGTTTATAATGCCACAATAGCGTAAAAGGAGCAAAGCAACCAAGTTACCTTTCTTTGTGTATTTATTCTTCTTTTATGGCAGCAGCGCCGGGAGCGGAGAGTGGCAGGTGGAAGGTTCCCTGTTCAGAACGGCACAAACCGGCCTCACTTAGGCATTACTCCTTCTCATGCAAATTCCTTCTCATGCAAATTCCACGTAGATGAGTACCTTCACGGTTTGCCGTAAATGTTTTTCTCAAACTTTATTGAGAATCTAGCACAACACAGCGACTTGAAAGTAGCGGCGTCTTAAATACAGTTATGTGTGTCTATATGAAGACAAAGGGATTCTGTATTTGCTCACAAAGCCTTGAACGGGTCATCTGGCCAATGTTTTGAGCCAGTCCAGCGTTTCCCCTCCACCATAACAGGGGTGCCCCCCCCCCCCCCCCATCCCTGATTAATAATAGAAATAATAACCAGCGGACAGAAAGCACCAGAAAACCAAGCTTTGTTGCAGTGCAGTTCCCTGTTGGTGTCACTAGGTGGTGCTGTGGCTGAAGGAAACAAAGAAGAAGGACTGGAACTGGTAAGAAAATTAATAAATTCGAAGGCCCTTGTTTTTGTTTGTGTACCCTGTTTTGTTTTTAAATTCTACGCCTTCGACGCCTCATGCCTACCATCATTTTTGACATTTGTTTTGTCAAAAAAGAATCTCCATGTGTCTATGAACACTTCTGAGAGTCAGTTTTTATAACGGCCAGTGGTTGTATCCTAATTCTTTGTGCTCATGGCATATAGTCTGACCCACTTGTGGATAAATTGCTGGAGGCCCCATAAGTTCTTTGTTGAATGGGGAGCGGTGTGGCCAGAGGAACATTACGAGGCAAGTTGACATCTGCTTTCTTTGTTTTCTGAACAGATACCAGCAGAAACATGTGTCTTTGATCAAGGAGCAGCATGAACATCAATAATCCATCCACCTGACAATAATCTATGTTCAATAAGAAGCGTTTCTTTTAGAGTGACGTCGACTTTCAAAATAATGCTCACTTTTAAAAACTCCATAACGTGTTATTTAACAGCTGCTTGTTCCCTGCAAGGAGTTCAGCTCCTCCCTTCAATGAACAAAACAAGTCTCAGATTTCCCCACTTCCTCTTTCCACCCGTGACAGTCCTTCCCGTTATCTTCCGTGCGTCTTCTCTGCATGGGAAACTTTCTACAAAACACAGCTGCATTCTTTGAGACTCTTAGTTTTTCATTTCTGCCTCTTTCCAACTGTTTTTAGTGGAGAGAATACATCTTGTTTGCCTGTTTTTCTCCCTCCTCCCTCAACCTAACAGTGTGGCAATGGTGGAAAGGGAGTCAACAACTGGAGACAGAGCAACGGGGCAGGATGGAAACCAGGCGTCAGACCCCATGCTGCTGATGTCCAGCAAACCTCTGCATCGCTTCGTCCAGAGAGAGCCCAGGAGTCTCGGGGTAACACGTGATGCACAACAGGGCCACAATGGATGTTTACTTGTGTTTGCTTAGTTTTACTGAAATCATTCCATCCCTCTCGTTCCCAGATTGTCATTCTCATCTTTGGCTGTGCAGAGGTTCTGATGGGATTTGTGTTGGCCGGTCAAAGCGAGTCCCTTTCTGATAGGATCTATATCACCTTCTGGCAAGGAGCTTTGGTACATAACACTTGGCACATGTGCTTCTCTTCAAAATGTCAATCTATAGTATCACAGTGGATCGTTAAAGCCCTCGAAAACGTAGTCTCAAAATTCACAGGTTTAACATTTTGCTGTTGTTTCTCTCTCTTTCCTTTTCCCTTTATTCGAAGTTAGAAATTGAGATTGATACCAGCCACTCATCCAACTTGGCAAAAAAAAGCTTTATCTTAGACAAATAGTTTAAAATGCATTCAAATTTGCTCTTCAACTTCCTACTCCAGTAGAGAGGAGCTTTGATTACTTCCACAGTCATGTGACCAGGGCCTGAAAGGCCACGAGCAATCATTAATGCACTTTGAATGAAAAATAATGTGATCATCCTTTTTTTGTGTTTGTTTGAAGTTCCTTGTCTGTGGAAACCTGTCCATCTACAGTGAGATACGTCCATCCAAGAAGATGGTAGATACTTTTTGATTTACTCATCTAGTGTTTCACTTTACCACTCGTTCTTTCTTAACCACTCACCTCATTGTGTCTCTCCCAGGTCACTGTATGTTTGGCCATGTATGTGGTTTCCCTTTTGGGACTCGTGGTCTCCATTATCTTCCGGATTTCCCACTTTAGCAGAATGTTCATCATTAGGCAGTACTTGCACCATGACAACCTGGTGAGTCTTAGCAAATATGTTTTATGCTGAATGGACACATTCCAGCTGAGGGGGATAACTTTCTGTCCTCCTTTGCTCTGGCTCTAGGATCTGATGATTGCAGTTGAATGCGTATTGCTCACTTCCTCTGTGTGTGTGGCTGTGCTCCTCATCATCCTGAGCACCGTTGCACGGTTAGCTCTGAAATCCACATCCACACAGGTAAAAATATTCTCATCGTTACTTCATGCTAAACTTTTCCACTGCCATTGAGGTGGGAGTGGAAAAGATGAAATGTAATCGGAGCGAGATATGTTTCAACAGACGACGATTAGCTAAGAATAAGTGAAGGCCACAAAAAAATTAGAAATAAAAATAAAAACATTGAAAGGAAATAACCGAAGAAGAGAAGAAAGGAAAAACATTCTGTGGATCTTTCTGAAGTCCTCGAGACCCGTGGTTCCCTCTTCACAAGTTGCATCTGTATGTCACCGCCTTCTTGTTGTCCTCTTACTTAACAAATGCCACCTCTGTCTCTTCCACAGGTTATTGTGCAGCATGTCCTGCCTCCACTGAGCAACACATGTTCAAATTAATCCCAACCTTGTGAGGTATTCTCCCATAGTAACTAACACTTGTTTTCATGCAGCAAATAAATATCCAAATAACACTTGACACGTACACCACCTAGTGGCCATGTTGTTTTAGTTACCTCTACTGTACGGTATGTCATACTTGTTTAGGTCGTATAGTACGAAACACTTGTTTCCCGTTGGGAAATAAACTTCCCCAAAATCGTTTTTTGATACTCGATAAATTGATACTTACAGCCCTTACAAACTATTTTTAGTCGTATGGTTGACCGCAGTTATTTGTTGTTTAATGTTGTAATGTTTGAATTAAAGGACAATGTAAGTTCACCTGATTGCATCAATGATCACTGTATAATAGATCTTAAATACTATGAGTTTATTCACTAACGATGTCACCTATCTAACTTTAGCATCCTTGATCCCTGTCAATCATGATGTCAACTAGAGAGTAGTGCTATTCCTTGTATTTGAAATACGTGTTTCAATTACTTGAGTATTTTTTGTAATTTGTATTTCTAGTTGATACAAAGCTTAAAGGCTGTTGAGTCTCATTATAGGTATTGTTTTTTTTGCATGGTGAATTCATATATATATATATATATATATATTATACTGTAAATAGAAATGAACTCGCCAAAAACATGTATTTTGTATTTTCTTCCGTCCGCATTTTACAGTACACCAGCCACACAATCCTCCACCGAATGTTCAAGCATAAGCAAGGAGATCAAAGGTCAAGGTGCAAAGTTATGACAAGAATGTACTAGTACAATATATTGTATTTCACCTGTCAAAATCATTAGTCCTATTTACATTAATAAATCCATGAATCCAAACTATACATTTGAAATAACGTGTGCATGATTATTAGTTTTTGCAGTATTTGTTCATTGAAGCTTTTTATAATCAATGTGACCCGTTAGATACACTTGGCTGCAGATATTTTGTGTGATATATTTTGCAGATGTGGTCTTTTGTTACAGGACAGTTAACATTTTGTAGCGCACAAACAACTGCAATGACACCATCAACAATTTTGGTAACTTCTTTCACTGACATTGACACATTCCATTGACTAGACAGTATGTCATGTCAATGGAAATCCTCCGCTAGTATGGGGAGAGTAGAATAGCTGGCTGTGTACAGAGGCAGAGGCCTGGAGTGCACGGCCGTAAGAGAAGGTCAGCTTCCTGGGGCAATGGAGGGGCACCTGGTTGATGGCGCTCAGGTTGGTGGAGGCCTCCTCCTCACTCTGGCCCCCGGATAGGAAACAGATGCCTGGAAAGACACAAAGCAGCATGGCACTACCAAGTATTCTGTGCTTTTATTTGTTTGGTGGGAGGGAATAAAAAAAATAACTGGAAGGCATTCGGGTCGCCGTTCTCGCTGCCCTCTGGTCACCACTTTGCCTCTGCAGGTGGAGGCCATCTCCTGGTCTCCAGTTGCTGAATCACACTGGGAGCGGGCTGAGCTGGCTGCCCAACTTCAGGTCACCTACTCCCGCCACGCTGGGCCGCAACGCACCGCCTTCTGCGCTGGGCTGCAGCAACCTCCTGATCCGGTCCCACGACTCGTACCCCCGACTCCGCCAGTCCCGGCTCCACAACTTGGACCCCCGACGTTTGGCGGCAAATCACTGTCAAAATTCGAGAGCGTAAATTAGGTTGATGCGTGCGTGTAAATCAAACATCCGCGAGCAAATCTCCGTCTCATCTGCACATTAAGAGCAATGCGTCCAGCTCGCAGACCTGTCTGTCAGTCTGAATATCTTGCCAACTTTACCGAACTATGGAGGAGCCTGCGCATATCTTGTATATCACATTCACTACAACCTCATTATTTATTTTTTCAAAAAGTCGATCCGTATTGAAAGTTGGCAAGATATTCACAGATTCAGACTTTTTTTCCGGTATTTTACAACTACGGACCGGTCTGAGAGCTGGACGCATTGCTCTTAATGTGCCGGTAATGATGGTAAATGATGGTTGTAGCTGGTTGTCATCTACGGTCCACTACGATTACCGAAGGGGGGCGTTTGTTTTTTGACATTTTATCTCATAATTTCGACTTTCTATCCTCTTTCTTTAGTGCGGAAATGGGCTTCTATAGTTGTGTGAATGCATCACTCCAGCCAATCCAAAGATGGGGTTTGTAACCAATCAGGTGTAGATACAAGGTGACTGGCTCCGCCCCCTTAGTGTCAAAAAGAAAAACAGCGAGCGCGTAGAAAATAGTGATTAGTCTTTTTTTGGGTCATTCCTTCATTTCGGGGGTGGTAAGATAAATTCCTGCATTAAAATAATGTATCATGACAGATATTATTATTATTATTATTATTATTTTCACGCTAGCATTCAATTATCATTGATCTACTCGCCGAGTAGATCAATGATTTGTTCATCGTTCTTAACAATAGAGGTTTTCCTAAAGGTAAAACCGGTAAATCTATACATCATAACACAAACGAGGTCCGTTAGAACCGAACGTGATCATTCACGTTGGTAGTACACTGCTTGGAATCCAATATAAAATTGTAACGAAGACAAACTTCCTAGCAAACCGGTAGCTTAGCTACGTTAGCTGAATGCTAGCCGGGCTAGAAACCCATCGAGACAGCTCACCTTTTACAAAAAGAACGTCAGTGTAAAAGCTGGATGGTCGTCCAAAGAAGAAAAAAAGAAGATATACGATGGGATTGAGCTAAAAAAATCGTCTTTAAACCAATACGGTTGAATGGTATTTTCGTTTGAAAACACGGCGGCTCAGACGCCGATGGCAACCTGCTCGCGCAGAGAAAGAATGCTGACTGCTTATCGCTACCAGTGGAGGGTAAACGCACGTAAACGCCGTTTACGCACCTCTGGAATTTTGGAAATAGCGTTTACGCACCTACAAATAGCGTTTACGCACCTATAAGTGGCGTTTACGCACATCAAAGTTCCCTGCGTCTTGTATCCTTACGTTGGAATAATCCGAAATAAACTTGGTGTAATTTTAAAACAGCTAAGACTACGTTTCCTATTGTTGAATATATAAACGCCGTAGGCTGAATCATTTTTATCTGCGCTGTATTACGGTCTGTGAGCATCCAATCAGTGCCTTGCGGCTGCAGCAGCGACACCAATCAGGATCCAGGAGGTGTGTAAACACATACATGTTGTGGATCAGCCCAGCGGTCCCCAACCTTTCTTACCCCACGGACCGGTTTCATGTCAGACAATATTTCGCGGACCGGTCGAGAAGGTCCGACGGGGGGGGTGTAGTAGTCGTTGCGGGCAATCATTGTCATTGATATGACTTTTACTGATAACATAATGCAATATAGCCAGGACAGCCTTACAGAGTCGCAACGCTTTGTGTTGCATTGCTTCGCATCGCGTCAAGGTCTGTATGATCACAAAATTCAGAGTTTACCCACCTCTAATTTTACCACTACAGCACTGTATACAGGTCACGTGAAGTTCAGCCTGTAGCCGGCCGTCCAGACAAGTGAGTACTCGGCTCGTACCGCCGGACCCCGGTCACGTTGATCTCACTGACGATGAGCTCGCTCTGGTTACCAGACACGGCCAGAACCTTGCAATAAAAGGTCCGCCAATAAACATGCAAACTGTTCATTTTTCACGTGACCTGCATAGGCTCAGCACTGGTAGCGAGTAGATCAATGATTTGTTCGTCGTTCATTTTTCAATGAAAGTCGTTCATTTTTCAATGAACGATTTGCTCGCGGATGTTTGATTTACGAGCGCGCATCAACCTGATTTACGCTCTCAAATTTTGACAGTGATTTGCCGCCATACCGATGCCTCCTGTCCCGCCCACCAGACGCTCGGGCGCCGAGCCCTCCATCTGGGCCTGGCACCAGATGGAGGCCACAGGCTTCATCCGGGCCAGGTACCTCGTTCTCTGTTTTGTTTTTCCAACTCTTTTTGAACCATTCTTAGTCTGGTCCCTCGCCTGAGATCTCTGTGCCAGGGGAAACCCTCCAGGAGCACCAGGCTCCAGACAACACAGCCCTCAGGTTCATTGGGACACGCAAACCTCTCCACCGCGATAAGGTGATGGTCCCCGGAGAGGACATGTGTGTGTTTCTATGTGTATGTATTTATGTGTTTCTATGTGTATGTATTTATGTGTTTCTATGTGTATATATTTATGTGTGTTTATATGTTTATGTATTTATGTGTATGTATATGTTTATGTATTTATGTGTGTTTCTATGTGTATGTATTTATGTGTGTTTATATGTGTATGTATTTATATGATTATGTTTTTGTGTACATAAATACACGTGTTAATGTGTATGTATTTATGTGTGTGTGTGTATTTATGTGTTTATATGTGTATGTATTTATATGATTATGTTTTTGTGTACATAAATACACGTGTTAATGTGTATGTATTTATGTGTGTGTGTGTATTTTATGTGTTTATATGTGTATGTATTTATGTGTGTGTGTGTGTGTGTGTGTGTGTGTGTGTGTGTGTGTGTGTGTGTGTGTGTGTGTGTGTGTGTGTGTGTGTGTGCGTGCGTTGGTGTCGTCGATCTTGAATTCTGCAGCCGGGGTATTAGAATATCTTGTACCACTTTTTCTTTGGCTTCTTGATGGTCTGACGTTGAAGGTCTTCCACCTGAGACAATAAGCAGGCCTTGTCCTTCTGCATCTCCTTCTCCCTTTCCAGGGATTGTTCTGTGGTCTTAAGGAGGTAAGACTTCATCTGGTGCCATTCGAGACGTTCATTCTCTCGCTCATCTTCACATTTCTTCCAAAGAGCAGCTACGACTTCTTTGTGGTCCTCCTTCTGTGTCTCCAGCGTGGTAACACAGTGGCTCTTGGATGTTTCAAGCTGTGATGTCAGTTCCAGAATTCTGAGACGCTGCTTTTCTAACAGATCTTCTGTTTCTTTCAGAGTTCTTGCGATCTTGTTAGTCTCCGCTGTCTGTTCCTCCAGCTCGTCTCGGGATGCCTGGTTTCTTTCAAACATCGTCGCAGCCTCCTTCTCCATTGTACGAACAGCAGCGATGTTCCTCTGCTTGGCATGTTCGAGGTCCGTGTATGTTTCTTCCAGCTTGGCTTTGAAGGAAGACCTCTCCTGCTGCCACTCAATAGTACGGCTCTCTAGCTGCTGCTCAGCCTTTTTCACAGCGGCCAAGAGGTCGTCGTTCTTCTTTTTTTCACTGTCGTGGTCAACCTCACAGGAGTTGCTCTTTTCCAACTGGGCAGACTGGAGGCAAGCTTTCTGATATTCACATTTCTTCAGAGCAATGGTGAGTTTTTTTATGTCGTTGTCTCGCGTCTGCAGCTTGGTAAGAGAGCATTTTAGCTGTGCCGTGACGCCGAACTTTTCCTGATAGCAGGTGTCCAACCGATCCTTGCTAACCTTCAAGTTCTCGTTGGTCTCTGCTTTCAGTTTTTCTAGCTGGGAGGTCAGGGAAGACCTCTCCTGTTGCCACTGAAGACGTTCTTTCTTCAGCTCCTGCTCAATCTTATCAAAAGCAGACTTGGTCTTATTGTTGATCTGCGTCTGTTCGGCATGTTTGAGGTCTGTGCATGATTTTTCCAGCTTGGCTTTGAAGGAAGACCTCTCCTGCTGCCACTCAACAGTACGGCTCTCTAGCTGCTGCTCAGCCTTCTTCACAGCGGCCAAGAGGTCGTCGTTCTTCTTTTTTTCACTGTCGTGGTCAACCTCACAGGAGTTGCTCTTTTCCAACTGGGCAGACTGGAGGCAAGCTTTCTGATATTCACATTTCTTCAGAGCAATGGTGAGTTTTTTTATGTCGTTGTCTCGCGTCTGCAGCTTGGTAAGAGAGCATTTTAGCTGTGCCGTGACGCCGAACTTTTCCTGATAGCAGGTGTCCAACCGATCCTTGCTAACCTTCAAGTTCTCGTTGGTCTCTGCTTTCAGTTTTTCTAGCTGGGAGGTCAGGGAAGACCTCTCCTGTTGCCACTGAAGACGTTCTTTCTTCAGGTCCCGCTGAATCTTATCATAAGCAGACTTGGTATTATCGTTGATCTGCGTCTGTTCGGCCAATCGAGCTTTAACGAGGTTCCAGAACGTCTCCTTGTCCTTCTTTGCAAATGTTATTTGCGTATTCAAGTCCTGCTTAGACTTGTCCAGAGCAGCCTTGAGCTTTATGATAGCATCCAGCTGTTCGTCCTGTTTAGTTTGGCAAAAGTTCTTGAATAGCTGCATTTCAGCACAGGATGACGTCTCAACATCACCCTTGACCTTTTGCAGCTTGGTAGCGGTCTCTTTTAGCTGTGCTTTCAGGCTACATATCTCGTTGTGTACATCTCCATTCTTATGTTGATGAAGAATATCTAGGAACTGCTGCAGACTGTCCTTATTGATCTGAAGGAGAACTCTTCCCTCAGATTCAGTTTGGGTGAGCGTTGCCTTGCTGTCCTCCAACTCACCTCTTACTTGTTCCTCCAGTGAACGTAGGTAAAAGTTCTTTGGAGCTTCAACCTCCTTGGAATTGAATTCCATTTCCGCCGGCATTATCTTCTTTTGCTGAACGTTGGCCATTCTTTTCCTTGTATTAATGGGAACTGCCAAAGTCCTCTCTAAAACAAAGTGATGTCTGAGCCAAAGTCCTCTCTAAAACAAAGTGATGTCTGATCTAAAGTCCTCTTCAAACCCAACTGACTACTGAGTGGAACTTAACAAGATAAGAAAACATTCCGTGATGTCATCGATGATGTCATCCATGATGTCATGCTTCCCTTTGATGTTGGTCACCTGGCAACCATGAAGTACATTGTTGCTATGATATATGATATTGATGACATCACGGAATGTGTTCTTATCTTGTTAAGTTCCACTCTCAGACATCACTTTGTTTTAGAGAGGACTTTAGATCAGACATCACTTTGTTTTAGAGAGGACTTTGGCTCAGACATCACTTTGTTTTAGAGAGGATTTTGGCAGTTCCCATTAATACAAGGAAAAGAATGGCCAACGTTCAGCAAAAGAAGATAATGCCGGCGGAAATGGAATTCAATTCCAAGGAGGTTGAACCTCCAAAGAACTTTTACCTACGTTCACTGGAGGAACAAGTAAGAGGTGAGCTGGAGGACAGCAAGGCAACGCTCACCCAAACTGAATCTGAGGGAAGAGTTCTTCTTCAGATCAATAAGGACAGTCTGCAGCAGTTCCTAGATATTCTTCATCAACATAACAATGGAGATGTACACAACGAGATATGTAGCCTGAAAGCACAGCTAAAAGAGACCGCTACCAAGCTGCAAAAGGTCAAGGGTGATGTTGAGACGTCATCCTGTGCTGAAATGCAGCTATTCAAGAACTTTTGCCAAACTAAACAGGACGAACAGCTGGATGCTATCATAAAGCTCAAGGCTGCTCTGGACAAGTCTAAGCAGGACTTGAATACGCAAATAACATTTGCAAAGAAGGACAAGGAGACGTTCTGGAACCTCGTTAAAGCTCGATTGGCCGAACAGACGCAGATCAACAATAAGACCAAGTCTGCTTTTGATAAGATTGAGCAGGAGCTGAAGAAAGAACGTCTTCAGTGGCAACAGGAGAGGTCTTCCCTGACCTCCCAGCTAGAAAAACTGAAAGCAGAGACCAACGAGAACTTGAAAGTTAGCAAGGATCGGTTGGACAGCTGCTATCAGGAGAAGTTCGGCGTCACGGCACAGCTAAAATGCTCTCTTACCAAGCTGCAGACACGAGACAACGACATAAAAAAACTCACCATTGCTCTGAAGAAATGTGAATATCAGAAAGCTTGCCTGCAGTCTGCCCAGTTGGAAAAGAGCAACTCCTGTGAGGTTGACCACGACAGTGAAAAAAAGAAGAACGACGACCTCTTGGCCGCTGTGAAGAAGGCTGAGCAGCAGCTAGAGAGCCGTACTATTGAGTGGCAGCAGGAGAGGTCTTCCTTCAAAGCCAAGCTGGAAGAAACATACACGGACCTCGAACATGCCAAGCAGAGGAACATCGCTGCTGTTCGTACAATGGAGAAGGAGGCTGCGACGATGTTTGAAAGAAACCAGGCATCCCGAGACGAGCTGGAGGAACAGACAGCGGAGACTAACAAGATCGCAAGAACTCTGAAAGAAACAGAAGATCTGTTAGAAAAGCAGCGTCTCAGAATTCTGGAACTGACATCACAGCTTGAAACATCCAAGAGCCACTGTGTTACCACGCTGGAGACACAGAAGGAGGACCACAAAGAAGTCGTAGCTGCTCTTTGGAAGAAATGTGAAGATGAGCGAGAGAATGAACGTCTCGAATGGCACCAGATGAAGTCTTACCTCCTTAAGACCACAGAACAATCCCTGGAAAGGGAGAAGGAGATGCAGAAGGACAAGGCCTGCTTATTGTCTCAGGTGGAAGACCTTCAACGTCAGACCATCAAGAAGCCAAAGAAAAAGTGGTACAAGATATTCTAATACCCGGCTGCAGAATTCAAGATCGACGACACCAACGCACGCACACACACACACACACACACACACACACACACACACACACACACATAAATACATACACATATAAACACATAAATACACACACACACATAAATACATACACATTAACACGTGTATTTATGTACACAAAAACATAATCATATAAATACATACACATATAAACACATAAATACACACACACACATAAATACATACACATTAACACGTGTATTTATGTACACAAAAACATAATCATATAAATACATACACATATAAACACACATAAATACATACACATAGAAACACACATAAATACATAAACATATACATACACATAAATACATAAACATATAAACACACATAAATACATACACATAGAAACACATAAATACATACACATAGAAACACACACATGTCCTCTCCGGGGACCATCACCTTATCGCGGTGGAGAGGTTTGCGTGTCCCAATGAACCTGAGGGCTGTGTTGTCTGGAGCCTGGTGCTCCTGGAGGGTTTCCCCTGGCACAGAGATCTCAGGCGAGGGACCAGACTAAGAATGGTTCAAAAAGAGTTGGAAAAACAAAACAGAGAACGAGGTACCTGGCCCGGATGAAGCCTGTGGCCTCCATCTGGTGCTATGCCCAGATGGAGGGCTCGGCGCCCGAGCGTCTGGTGGGCGGGACAGGAGGCATCGGTATGGCGGCAAATCACTGTCAAAATTTGAGAGCGTAAATCAGGTTGATGCGCGCTCGTAAATCAAACATCCGCGAGCAAATCGTTCATTGAAAAATGAACGACGAACAAATCATTGATCTACTCGCTACCAGTGCTGAGCCTATGCAGGTCACGTGAAAAATGAACAGTTTGCATGTTTATTGGCGGACCTTTTATTGCAAGGTTCTGGCCGTGTCTGGTAACCAGAGCGAGCTCATCGTCAGTGAGATCAACGTGACCGGGGTCCGGCGGTACGAGCCGAGTACTCACTTGTCTGGACGGCCGGCTACAGGCTGAACTTCACGTGACCTGTATACAGTGCTGTAGTGGTAAAATTAGAGGTGGGTAAACTCTGAATTTTGTGATCATACAGACCTTGACGCGATGCGAAGCAACGCAACACTAAGCGTTGCGACTCTGTAAGGCTGTCCTGGCTAATATTGCATTATGTAATCAGTAAAAGTCCTATTCCATCCATGACCATGAACAAATGTGTTAGGATTTCCACCATTACTCTGTCAGCAAGAATCGGATGAAGCTGATGTGCGCCCATTCCTCCGGGATTTTAGTGCATCGTCAGGACTTAAGGCTGGGTTTTCGCTCGCCCTGCGTTTGAGTGATTAGCCTCGATAGTACAATACTTATTGGGAAAAATGCGTCCAATAAGTCATTTCGATACCCCCAATCTACCTCTCACATCCCCCACATGAGGGACCTTCGGCGG